CCACTGTGAGTAATTTTTCTTACCTGTTCTGCTTTCAACATTACTAAGGTGTTGCACAACTTTTACCTCCAGGAAGGTTTGGGAGTTCTCCTCGCGACAGGACAAGTGGCCTGGTCCCTATGCAGGATTATTTTGTAAGTGCTACTCTCTGCCTCACAGCATTGCCATCTGACTCTCCTCAACCACTAGTATCCACACTAAATGCATTGCTGAAGGATCCTCTGTTACCCCTGATTGTCGGCAGGTAGAGCACACTGGGATCCTGCTGCAGGTACCACCTATTGGGTATAGAGTGCGTCCAGAGGTCTACGTGGGAGCTGATCACCTGGAGATGGGTCTTTCTTACGTGACTGATCCACAGCCTCTTGAGAAAGTTCCTCAAGATTCCTTGCTCATTTCTGCCCCTAATATGTTAAACATATCAGTGTGGCAAACGTTCCTGCCCCCATACCTTACCCTTGAGGATTCTTTGCTGGCCCAGTGTAGTTTAGATGCGTCTTAGAACCATGTTCTGGATCAAGGGTTGGCAGGCCCAGTAGAGTTCCTCTGCCTTGCACCAGAGACATCTGGGTGTTGAAGGGGCATGGGTCTTGTACATCCTTTTGTTATTCTGGTGTTCATGTGCATCTTTCTGAGGTTTTGGTTTTGGCTTTTGTAGGGTTACCTCTCATGCACCCTACCCCCTTATTTAGTCAGGCATGGTGGTCCCCTTTTTAAGTTTTCTGTCATTCACAGGGGTCATTTATCTGTCCTTTTGGGATATTACATTGTGATGATTTTTTCATTTCATTTACCATTTTTGAAATATCTTGCTTGCCAGATGAGTTGCCTGGTCAGACAACCTTCCTTCCCTGTGTCCTTAGGGTTGGAAATTAAAGACTTGAGCCTTCATAGGTAGATGGGGTGGTCTTCTCTTGTGCACCTGATTTGTCCAAAAGTTCCCTCTGGGAAACTGTTCTTCTGCGGACTTGTCACAGTGTTCTTTTGTTGACCACATCCTGTTGTTGGTCTATTCTTCCTCAGATAGTTTGTTGCACCTATTTTGGTGTTTTTTTTGGGCTCACAGTCTCTCGCTGATTCAGTCTCGGTGTTCCTTCAGGTGGAGTCATTACCCTTGGCAGAGGTCTCTTCCTTCTTGGTCTTGATCATCAGGTTGATCCTCTGTGGCCTACCCTTGGTTCATGGCAGATTCCCCTGTTCTAAAGGGGACTTTACCTCATCTCGTTCAGATCCAGGAATTAGTCCTTTAGGTAGGCATGCGTTGCAGATGAGTCCTAGTCAGTGGCTGTGAACCCCCATTCAGCTGGGCTGTTTTTATATGTGAGAATATAGATGTGAATTCCTTTGACTCTCAATGGATGAGCATAAAAATATGAGTTTTGCATTTACCAAAACATCTATTTTTTGGAGTCCATTAAGGGACACAGGTTCTAACCCTTTTTTTTTTTTTTTGGCTTTCACTGCTACTGCCTTTTCACAAAATTGAGTCATGCTGGGTAAAGGAGGGGTTATGCCAGTGCCCTAAACTTTACTTCTTATCCAGCATGTTGAATTCCTGTGTCCCTCTATGGACTCCAAAAAAATAAATATTAAGGGAAGTACAAAAAATTATTTTTGCTCATGCATGCTCTAGAGTAGTTTACTTATATCTATGTAAACACTAATATTATTATGGTTTGGTTTCTGTTTTGTAATGGTTTTTTTTTTTTCTCCACAGCTCACAAACTTGGAAAGAAAATGGCAGCAGCATGAACAAAATAACTTTGTAATGAAAGAATGTATCCTTTTTAGTCAATGTAACACAAGATGCCAACAAGACCTACTTAACACTCTTGTTATTTAATGACCCTTGTGAGCAAAAGCTTTTTAGCCTTCGATAATCTTGAAAATTGTTAGAGCATCTGCTTGTTGTGTCCCAGCTGGAAATATTTTGTCTTACTTTCTGTCCCAGAGACGCAACTGAAGGTAAAAGTATATCTTCCCAAAGTGAGGGGAAAACCCACCCACTGGGAGATTTCCCCCTCTAACCCTATTCCAGTAACAACAGTGACAAGAACAGAAAGTGACTGTCAATCTCCAAAACGGTGACACAGGCAGCAAACAAGCCTGCAAAGGGTTCTATCCTCTTCCCACTAGACATTTTTGGCTGCAGTTTCACTTTAACAAAATGTATGTATTCCATCCTAGTACTGAAACAATTTGTTGATTACCCCCTTTGGGAGCAATATGTAAGGAAATTATTGTACATATTGTATGCCATGATTGTGGCTAAAAGTTACAAACCATGAGTTAGATGAATGGTATCCTCCACTTTTTATGCAAATATGCATACTATCTATACCGACATATCCATCTGTGATAAACGTTTTTTGTATACTTGCTTTCCAAGTAGTAATCTATCGTTAATCTTAGAAGCCAGGTATTGGAGCCACGGCAGAAGCACCATATCAATGCATTACCAATAAAATGTGGTTCATATGCGATAATCTTTGCACTCTCTCCCTTTGGTTTCACAAATCTGACTGTGTCTAGAGGTGTGGATAAGAAACCTTGATACACTCCTGTCAAAAATGACATTTTTGATTCAGTGTATAATTAACTTACTGTTGCACAGTTGGTAGGAAAAAACCTTTACTCCTGTCCTTGGGACCCAGCTATTCCCCTGTTGCTTGCCACCCTCTTGCCTCTTATACAGCTTAAAAAAAGTGAAGCCAGGCTGCCAGTCACAACTCACAAGTAAGATACATCACAGACCTTTCTGTTACAGCCATGAGTTAATGTTCTCTCCCTGTTTAAAAGTTTCTTGCCAGGCCGTTTAAATTCTTGCACCTTCAGACCTCAGATCAGCCTCAAACCTTGTAAATGTTATTCCAGCCCAGGATAAATGTAGGAATGTTAAGTCTGATTGCTGTGCTAGTTTAAATTGTAATTTAATCAGTATTTCTCCAGATCTTCTATTATGGAAGAGAAGACGGACAGACCAGCTCCAATTTCTGCATCTTCACACCTTAGATCAGCCCCAATTCTTGAACCTTTACACCTCAGATCAGCCCCAATTCCTTCACAGTTCAGATTAGCCCCATTTCCTTCACAGTTCAGATTAGCCCCATTTCCTTCACAGTTCAGATTAGCCCCATTTCCTTCACAGCTCAGATCAGCCCCATTTCCTTCACAGCACAGATCAGCCCCATTTCCTTCACCTTCACAGCTCAGATCAGCCCCATTTCCTTCACCTTCACAGCTCAGATCAGCCCCATTTCCTTCACAGCTCAGATCAGCCCCATTCCCTTCACAGTTCAGATTAGCCCCATTTCCTTCACAGCTCAGATCAGCCCCATTTCCTTCACCTTCACAGCTCAGATCAGCCCCATTTCCTTCACAGCTCAGATCAGCCCCATTTCCTTCACAGCTCAGATCAGCCCCATTTCCCTCACAGCTCAGATCAGCCCCATTTCCTTCACAGCTCAGATCAGCCCCTATTCCTGTACTTTCACACTTCAGATGAGCCTCAATTCCCACACCTTCACACCCCAGATCAGCCCCAATTCCTGCACCTTCACGCTTCAGATGAGCCTCAATTCCCGCACTTTCACACCTCAGATCAGCCCCAATTGCCGCACCTTCACACCTCAGATCAGCCCCAATTCCTGCACCTTCACACCTCATGTCAGCCCCAATTCCTGCACCTTCACACCTCAGATAAGCCCCAATATCCGCACCTCAGATTTGCCCCAATTCCTGCACCTTCACACCTCAGATCAGCCCCAATTCCTGCACCTTCACACCTCAGATCAGCCCCAATTCCCGCACCTTCACACCTCAGATTTGCCCCAATTCCTGCACCTTCACACCTCATATCAGCCCCAATTCCTGCACCTTCACACCTCATGTCAGCCCCAATTCCTGCACCTTCACACCTCATATCAGCCCCAATTCCTGCACCTTCACACCTCATATCAGCCCCAATTCCTGCACCTTCACAGCTCAGATTTGCCCCAATTCCTGCACCTTCACACCTCAGATCAGCCCCAATTCCTGCACCTTCACACCTCATATCAGCCCCAATTCCTGCACCTTCACACCTCATATCAGCCCCAATTCCTGCACCTTCACAGCTCAGATTTGCCCCAATTCCTGCACCTTCACACCTCAGATTTGCCCCAATTCCTGCACCTTCACACCTCAGATCAGCCCTGTAATTATTATTCCAGGCTAGATTAATGTAGGAATGTTAAGTCTGATTGCTGCGTTAGTTAAAATTACATTTTAATCAGCAGTTCTCAAGTTATTTTATTATGGAAGAGAAGACACAAGATTGAAGAATTAATAGAAAGCTATGCATCTGCTTTTCAGCTTCAGAAGATCATTTTCCATTAGTTTGGAGTCTAAGAGAAAGTGAATCTTGTGACACAGCGCTGCTTATGTATGGAGCTACTATCAATTACACACAGTGCAATATTCCCCACAGTTCCTCGGTCACCACCACCTTCAGCTGTCTGCTGTAATCAGGTCACTACAGCCCACCTACTCCTAAAGGTCCCCACACACCTTACGATAATCGTACGATAATCGCGGGAAGCCGTGCAACCTCTACTACTGTAAGGTCGCACGACTTTTAACTTACGGACATGTTCGAAAACCCGCCGAGCATCGTACGATGTTCGGCAGGTTTGTGGTATGTCCGTACGATAAAAGCCGTACGGGCCGGTGTGCGCAAGCGCACACTGCCCGTTCGGCATTGCGGTCATCGGAAGCCCGCCCCTCAGGGGGCGTGGCTTGCGATCATCGCAAGTACGATCTGCCTGTCCAAGATAGGCAGATCGTAGGTTTTTTTAAGTACCTTACAACCATCGCAAGACAAAAGTCTTGCGATGGTTGTAAGGTGTGTGCCCAGCCTTACAAACAAAACCCTGAGTGGAGTTCTTCTTTTAACTGTTTAGGTTCAGGAGGCCCGGTTCATAGCCAGAGCCAGCACTAGAAGGCGCTGCTTTATCGCAAGAGAGGCAGCAGCCAATGACAGTGTGCCAGCCTTGACATTCATGTTGGGGGTTGCCAACTCCTGCTCTATAGTATTCTCCCTCTCTCTCCCCATTGTAGCTATAGTACATAAGAGGTTATATAGGGAAGTGACAGAAAGGGAGGAGGACCTTGGCCAGCACAAAGAGTAATTGGACACTGCCGGAAAAGGAGAGGGCTATGACATGCAAGGAGGGAGGCTGTGATAAGAAACTGACTAGTCAATGTTTCTAGCAAGGCACATTGGAAGTCCATATAAATGATTTTTTGGAAAGGAAAAACACTGCAAGTAAGCATTAAAATACATGATTTTTTTTCTGTGCTTTTGCCTCCAATCTTTGAGGTTGGTGACATGGTCTCCAACACCGGCCAAATGGTCTCCAGCCACGGGGAGTGGTTAAAGATAGAGATCAGGGCTTTGCTGTTGACAATTTTTTAACTTACAAAATGTATTCTTTTCACACAGGATACAGTATGTACCATTAAATGATGCATGGCGGAATCAACAGACAAAGGATCGTTTCTTTCTATAAGGCTGGTATACATGCTCTCACTGCATTTAGGAAGTGCCTTGTTAGAGAATTTCTGAATTTGGATTAGCTGTTAACTTTTGACAAATTGTTGGCATTTAAATATTGGTAATAGCACCCTAATAATATTGGTTTAGCCTGCAAGGTTTTGGGGAAAAAGTACATTTAAAATAACTGATGGAATAGATTTTGAAAATACTTCTGTGTTTTTATGCTAGAAGTCATTTTAAACTGGCCTAGAAGACACCATCTCATAAACCACTATCTATATCCATAAGCTCACACTTACATACAGGCACAAGGGAGATTGTACAACAAATAATTAAGTGACCCGCAGCTGCAGTCCTACCTAGAAGCCTGCTGAATTTGGCTATAAAGGACTTTAAAAAAAATGAGATTGCAGGTTATATTGAGCAGACTAGCATTTTTGCAGAGTTTCTCACCAATACAGATTGTTGCCTGAAGATGCTTTTCTATTATATTCAGCCGAAACGTAACACATTGGGGGAATTTATTAAAACTGGAGCAGTTGCCTATAGCAACCAATCAGTTTCTCTCTTCAGTTTGTTCAGTTAGGGTTTGACATGGCTGATTGGTTGACATGGCCAGTTGCTCCAGATTCTGTCTGCTCAAGTTTTGATACATCCCCCTCATTATATTATATTTTAGGATTAAAATTGCAAATCTTTATTCATGGTATTAACATAGTATGTTTGAATGGATTTCCTTGACATCTCTGCCCAGTTATAGCAACAAAGAGCCAGGAAAGTGACTACAAGCAAGTGATGAAGAATGTAACTAAACAGATTGCAGAGTACAATAAAGTCCTCATAGATGTACTGCAGAACTCCAGGAACTGAACCATCCAGCTCTTCCTTCCTGCACACCAGCATGTTCAGCACATTGGCAGAGTGATCGGTGTCTTCTTCAATTACAACTGTAACAGCTCAACCTCAGATGTTTTACACGTGTTTAGTAATGTTTGCTGTGTTGTTGGAAACTGAAAAATAAAATGCTCATTTAAAATGTAGTAATTACATTAGCTTTCAGTGTTAAATATTATTTTTAAACAATACTAAGCTTTTCTTTTATATAATGCTGTACCGTAAGCAGCGATGGGAGTAACCAATAGCAACTTCACCTAACAGTTGTATAGGGGTTGCTATGGATTATTGCACCCAAAGCTTGCCCTAAGCAATAAGGGCATTCCTTCATATTTCATGTATTGATTACAAGAAATACTTTGCAAACCTCAAACATTCTATTCCTGAGGAGGTATCAGGACATCCCTATTGATAACCCATAGTGACCAATGATAATAAAAAAGAATGTATCCGTTGCTATGAGCATTACACCATTTGACTTATTAACTGAGTGTTGATTTCCATAAAGGAAACCTTTCCTGAGAGAAACGGGGAGGGTACCATTGCTGATGTTGTATTCTGGAAGTACCAATTGCCTGACTACCATACTGATCCTCTGGTTTCGGGACTTTTAGTAACTGACCTATAACAAAGCAGAGAAAGACTTCTCTCTGACTTTCTTGATCTGTATAATTGTTCCGGGTCAGTGCTCAGAAAGTATTAAAACATAGGGTCAGCATAATAGCCAAGCAACTAGCATGTTCAGAAAATGGAATGACAGTCCTCATATATATTTCTAATAAAAGGTTTAGAGAAGAAGTGAAGGCATCGCAATAACTCACCAGTTAATTGTTGCTTCCCCTTTGCCATGATCCTCCCTGTATCCATTTTATATTAAATCGCTTCCTGAATGTAGTTATTACTATTACATAGCATTTATATAGTGCAAACAGTTTCTGCATCACTTTAGTTACAATACAATTCAAGACCAGAGATTTAGGAGGGCCTTGCTTGTGAGAGCTAACAATCTAGTTTTTTTATGCAGTCACATGATGCTCTAGCTCATTTCTCTTGCTCTCTGCATCTGGTGAATAAGAGAGTCATCTCTTCTGGCTCAATATCTCTGTCAGTGGACACCAGCGGGATGACCTCATGGCTACAGGTGATTCAGCAATGTTGGACCCTCCACAGTACAGAGAATCACTGGAACTTTGCAGTCACATGACTACATAGAAAAACTAGAAAAAGCTGTATTTAGGAAGTGATTTATTAGAAAACATATACAGGGAGGATCACAGCAAAGTGGAGCAACATTTAGCTGGTGCGTTATTTTGATGCCTTTTCTTCTACTTTATGGCTACAACAGCCAAACAATTGGGGCATTTGAATTATACAGAACTTCCATGTTACAGTTAAATACTTTAAGAAACCCTAAACTGTATTTCTGCTAAAAGCAGATGCCAACTGGCACTGTCTCCCACCAGCTTCTTATATCACCCACAATTTTTGGAAGTGTGATTTTGCATGTGGCTCCCCAGGACTGATCACTTGCCATGGCCAGTACCACAAGGTCTCTCTCTGCTTGCTGGATTGTTTGTTTCATCTAGATTACATTTAATGATGCCATCAGATAACTTTCATGTATGCCTGCAACTCCAGAGCTACTTATTTTAAAGCTTTGCATTGTTATTCATTGCCGTTGCTCCAAGTGATACTGCTAAGGGAAGCCAGTGCTTTATCAGCAGTGAGCGAGAGAAAGAGTTCATTTGACTAGAAGCCTGATAGGTTTGGATGCTGGGAGGTATGTAAGGGGTTTGATCACTTGCAGGGCGTAATCAGGAAAAGGAGTGAACAGGGCAGAGATAGTCCCTGAGTGGAGGAAGTGGAAATGGGACACCTAATGTAAAGGGAGAGATAGTAGAATGCTGTGGATGTTACATTGCATGCATCACTGTCAAATCTTTGAAATGTTTTCCAAATATAAAGCAATATTGCATAGCTTAACCATTAGGGTGGATGAGCCCGGGCATGCTTTCTGTGCAGCTGTGACTTTCCTTTTGTGTATTATTAGGATCCAGATGGACAGAAACAATTATGGTGGCAAGCAAGATACTACAGGTGAAACTCGAATAATTAGAATATCGTGCAAAAGTAATGGCAGTAAGTGCTGCAAAAGGGGCCCAAACCAAGTACTGAGTACATATGCATGCTTGTACTTTTCAGAGGTCCGATATTGTTCTATGTACAATCCTTGTTTTATTGATTGCATGTAGTAATCTACTTTTTTGAGGTTGTGGATTTGGGGTTCTTGGGGTTTTCATGAGCTGTAAGCCACAATCATCACAATGATGAGAAATCACGGCTTTAATTATCTTGCTTTGCATGTAATGAGTCTATCTCATATATTAGTTTCACCTTTTAAGTTGCATTAGTAAAATAAATGAACTTTGCACGATATTCTAATTATTCGAGTTTCACCTGTATATTTCCATGTGTAGAAGCATGTGTTGGAATTTTTTTAATGAATAGTTTTGAGAAGTGTAACTGTTATGATGAAGTGCAGTCATAAAAACTAACACTTCAAATGTATTTATTTTTTACATAAATTCTTTTTACATCCTACAGTTTTTTGGGTATTAGATTGACAGTTACATAAACTATATGGCCAAATGTTTGTGGGCACCTGACAATCACAGCTATTTAAGCTTGTTGGACATCCCATGGCAAACCATGGGTATACATGTGGACCTTCTTTATTTCCACAACATTATGGAGTTTGTCTTTGGGGAATTTTACCCATTCAGCCAAAAGAGCATTTGTGAGGTCAGGTACTACCTGGCTCACAATTGGCCTTCCAATTCATCTCAGAGGTGTTCAGTAGGACCTAGGTCAGGGCTCTGTGTACAACACTCGAGTTCCTCTACACTAAACTCATTATATCGTGTCTTTACGGAGCTGGCTTTGTGCGCAGGGGCACATTAATACTGGAACAAAAATGAGCCTTCCCGAAACTGTTATCTCAAGTTTGGATGCTCACAGTTGTTTAAATGTTATACTTTGCAGGAGCCTTAACAGTTCCATTCACTGAACATCCATTAACTCAATAATTTGGAGGGGTGTCCACATACTTTTCACTGTACAGTTTTTAGTTAAACCTTTTCATGGATATCCATGACCTTGATGAACACAGTAGAAAGGAACCATAAGCCCGTGGAGCGTGCTCGAAAACGAATCCCCTGTGAACAAAAAAAGTGAATCGTGAAATCACAACACACAAAAACGTGCATGATGGTGCTATTGGTCCTCTCTAGTGATACTACACTTGATCTTACCCAAAAGGCCGAGAAGCAATAACATTAAGTTTATTGCAGTAATGTCCAGTTAAAGTGAAATTCCACCAGGGCATTTGCTATCTTAACCACATGAGTCCCACTTCTGCATTATGTTCACATCTGGAGTAGTAATGTCATGGCAATACGGAGGCCTGGGCAGATCTGTTGTAGCTCTGTACACCCTCTCCCTGCAGCAATAAGTCCCTGATGTAATAATCTATTGCTGGCTGATTGTAGCCAGCAATTGAGCACTATTAGAAGTGATCTATTACTGCACAGTTGCATGGGAATAAATATACATTGTGTGTGTGTGTGTGTGTGTGTGTGTGTGTGTTACAGTTCTCCTGGCAACCGCCAAACCCAGAAACATCCATCGGAATGCCGGAAAAAGAAGCGTGAGTCCAGTGGCGGTGTGCTTTACACCACTGCATCCAACGCTTTGCATTGCACTTGGTGATGTAAGGCTTGGATGTAGCTGCTCGGCCATGGAAACCCATTCCATGAAGCTCTCTACCCACTGTTGTTGTGCCAGTCTGAAGGCAACACGAAGTTTGGAGGTCTGTAGCTATTGACTCTGCAGGCAGTTGGTGACTTCTGTGCACTTCAGCATGCGCTGACCCCTCTCTGTCATTTTACATGGCCTACCGCTTCGTGGCTGAGTTGCTGTTGTTCCCAGTTGCTTCCACTTTGTTATAATACCACTAACAGTTGACCATGGAATATTTAGTAGCAAGGAAATGTCATGGATGGACTTATTGCACAGGTGGCAACCTATTATTTTAATCAGCAGACTTTAGGTTCAATTCACAAATAAATATATGGGGGTGCACAAATTATGTAAGCATTGTGTTGGGAAAAATTACAGGAAAATGCTTTTCTATCATACATACCTCGTAATTTTCCTTTTCTGGTGCCAATTCATGGCAGCATATATATATGGTGAAGGGTGGTGTAGCTACCATATGTATGCTGCAATGTTGGTGCCAATAAAACACGTTTTTAGGAAAGTAGGGATGTAGTTGTACAGATGAAATTCACCCATGTAAGTTGGTCCATAAATATAATTTCATATCCTTCAGTAATTGTCTGTAAATCATTTGGATCATCCAAATAAAGGAACATTATCAAATTCACCTAGGTAACCTGAGCTAAAAGCTTGATATTTATTTAATGTGACACTAAACTCAGGAGTTAAATCTTAAAAATACATTCAAGTACCTTAACTATTAATAAAAATGTACCTTATTTGTGTATTACTCAGCTGTAGATTCTCAAATCGTCTCTGAATTGGTGCTGACACTGTCCTTCCTTCTGGAGGGTGACTACATTTATGTTAATAATTAAGGTACTTGAATGTATTTTTAAGATTTCACTCCTGAGTTTAGTGTCACTTTACGGGAACTCATTTCTTTATTTTGCCATAATCAGATCTTTGGTATATCCTTACTGTATCCACATACAAGCAAATGTCTTATGATATTTAGTCAGAGATGAGATGCTCCTGGTCCATGACCAGGGCCGGATTTCCCACAGGACCAACCAAGCCCGGGCCTTGGGGCAGCAGGGAGTAGAGGGGCAGCACACGTGTGGAATTCCTATCTCCCGACGCCCGACATGCAGTTCCTGGCGCCGGGCGGGTAGCTGTTTTCTACATTTAGCCCTGATTTGGGCAAGCAGGGCTATATGTACAGCGGGGAAGCTGCCGCTTGTTTTGTACAAGTTATCTTGGCGATGTCACCGAAATCACTTGTATGCAGCCTGCATACAGGGGGCGAATTGAGGAACCTGGCATTGGGGCAGCAGAGAGAGTAAATCTGGCCCTGTCCATGACAAGATTACTATGCACCTAAACATGAAACCATTTTTTTTTACCCAACCTGAGCTATACACGTTTTCAACACAATCAGCAAAGTGTTCTGTAAATGGTACAATGAGCCTTATGTGGTAGCGTTTAATTTCTCATAGTCTTTTTGCTGGTTGTCTTTCACTTACCATGAAGATGCCTGATGAATGCTTTCCCTGGTAATAAAAATGTAGCATGTATGACCAGCTGAAAACAAATGGTGGCAGACATCTTGTTGGAAATAATGGGTGGGTTGAAATGTGCCTGTCCGGCACCATTTTACTATGTTTTATCTGTTTTTATTTTCTTTAAGATTAAAAATGCATTTTTTAATTCATTAATGGAATTACTGATTGAATCTGATGAATTTGCCATGTAAATGTCATATTTGCTGTAAGTGATGGAGGTGCCCTCCGCACACCTTTCAGCAGTCCCGGCCAACAATCAAATAAATGGTGCTCGAAGTAACTTCACGGATGGCACCGTGCAAAACACAAGATTGAAGAGTGGCTCATGTTGGATTTCTGTGACATCATTGTCCATTAAAAGGACTCATTCATTTTAACTTATGGAGTGCTGGTGACCTATTTTCTTCAATATTTGCTGTAAGCACATTTTTACGAAATATTTTGACAGTTAATTCCTGAAGATTTTTAAATTGGTTATCACTGCGTAACATTCCACTGGCTTCAGGAAGGTGAAGGATTTAAAAAATTGAAGGCCTTTTTGAAGTGTAACTGATGATGCTTAGGAGCCCCAAGAGCACTTCCACTTGTCACTTCATTGTGACAGCTGCCTTTTTCTTGAATTCTTCTTCGTCCTGGCATCGTTTTTTCTTCTGCTATTGGTGGGCCACTGGCTGTGTAACTTTCACCAGTGACATTGGAGTTACTTTACCCCAGCACCCACCTCTATTCTCAACCAACAGGCAACACCCCATTTTTGACATTTTGCAGATTAATTTTTTGTCAGAAAAAACATACAATTTGTTTTACTTCAATTCAGCTTAAATGCGAAAAGAATGTCACATCTAGGTGATATTTCTGTTTGTGCGCTACATTTTTGTGATACAATTGAGTTATAGGACTCATCTTGAAGAATTGAGCTAATAGTGTTTTTGTTGTTATTGTATTCTTTCACATATGCTTTGATTTCCACCTATTTGCTGCTAACAAAACTCATTAATGGCTTGATACAGCTTCTTATCTCTTCTCCCGCCTTACTCTACTGACTATATTTTCCATATACTGTCAGATTTTCTAGTACAAAATACCTTAAAGATCCTGCCTTTCACATCCTAATCTAAAAAGGAAACAGGAAAAAGGAACTTAAACTCCCTGTGCTTAGACAGCAGCGAGACAGTAGTAGAGCAGTGTCCATGGGAAAGCAGAGGAAATCTACTGCATGTTAGAGCAAAGCATACAAACCCAGTACAGGCACAAATAGTATGTGAGCGGCACTCTTTCTATGAACGCCTGTGGAAATTGGATGGATATATTCTGGAAAGCATGGATTTTTTAGCATTTTTAGCTCTCTGGTTGTCTGGACTGGTGGTCTCAGGTAGGAAAATCATGATATTTTGTTTACGTATATGTAATACAGTGTAATACAGGACATCTGTTATACTGGGGTCTCCAAAACAAGTGTTAATTGCTACAGAGTACACTGGTTTAACCAGAGCTAGGATACATGGGCATAGCATTAACAGATCGCTCATAGTTAATGGCAACAATAATTTCAGATGCTATTAAAAAAAAAAAGTCTATCCGATTACAGTATGACCTATTACCTATTAAAATTGTTTCATATATGATGTCTAAAGTAAATGTTGCCTTTGTGTGCCTCCAAAATCTTGACAGGTTATGTTTATCACATTTCTAGTAAATAGCACCGGGGGTGTATTCATTAGTAAGGCTCCATTTACATATAGCATTTCCTTTTCCAGCGCGGTTTCCATGTGGAAGATGGTACGGCAACGCAAACGCTAAAATCTTTTATCTATTATTATATAGCCGCGAACGTGCGGAATCAGTCAAAAAAATCGAGTGTGGACTGTTTTGCGGGCCGCGCGGTTTCATGCCACGCAGTGGCAAATGTCTGAACAATGCACATTAAAGTGGATTGTTTTTTCTGTTTAGAGCAGCTCCGTGCGTATTCGGCTGGCAACCGCTCATGTGGGAATGGAGCCTAAGAGTTAGGTACTTCTCTAAATATAGCTATTAGGGATGCAACGATACCGGTTTTTAGGTATCGAGAACGAGTACCAAAAATTTTTTTTCAGTACTCCGCGATACCGAGTACCGGTGCATTGTGCCCCGATTACCAGGAAGTCAGGCGGCAGATTATGACCCGTCGCCCAGTTTCCTGATTGCTTGTGAAGCCGGTGTTCAAGTGAAAGAACACCAGCTTCAGAGGCTGCCTGGCTTCCTGACCAATCAGAAAGTCGGGACACGAGTCATGACGTGCTGCCCGGCTTCCTGATTGGTTAGGAGGCCAGGCTATCTACCAACAAGTGAAGCTGGCTTCCTAGCCAATCAGGAAGCCAGGTGGCAGGTCATGACCCACCTCCCGGCTTCCTGTTTGGCTTAGAAGCCGGCTTCACTTGTTCCCAGGCAGCCTGGCTTCCTGCCCAATCAGGAAGCCGGGAGGCGGGTCATTACATGCCGCCCGGCTTCCTGATTGGTTAGAAAGCCAGACTGCTTAGCAACACTTGAAGCTGGCTTCCTAGACAATCAGGAAGCCGGGAGGCGGGTCATAACCCACCACCCGGCTTCCTGATTGAAAGTAAGCGGGTTCCATGCTCCCTCGGCACTGCTGGTCAGAGGGAGATCTCCCTCTGACCGGAAGTTCCGGTATTGGAGGTAAGTATCGGAGCATTTGGGCGAATACCAGTCCAAATACTTGGTATCGGCTCCGATACCGACATTTGTATCGCTATCGGTGCATCCCTAATAGATATAATTAAATAAATCTAAAAACCTACCAAGGAAATGGAAAAAAAATCCCCATGCTGTGGGGCTCCCTCCACACTGCAAGGCTTAACTGCTGGTTTACGTCTAGCGGTCTTGTGTAAAAAATGTTTACATACCTGATCCCCACTCCCCATTCAGTCATCACTCACCTCTCTCACCTACGCTCTGGCTTGTGGACTGTCCCTTGGCGTACTCATATAATGTAGGGCTATAAACCTGGCATTAGACATGATGACATTAGTAGGCTTCCGACCAATGGACTGCTGGGGGGGGGGAGAGGCTGCAGGCGCTGGTCTAGGAGCCTGCAGGAGCATGGATCAGGTAAGTAAAAGTGCTTTACAGATTACTTCTAGACAAAAAACAACAGTTAAACCTTTTATTGGATGAAAGGGCAGTTTGATTGTTTTTGTACTGAAGATAAGTTTTAAGCTGTTATTCTGTTAACATTGCAGGTATATATATGAAAATGTACAAACGAGAACATTACTTGTTGCCTATAACTGTGATGGAAATTTAGGTCCCTGGTTTCCATTTTGTATATTCATCTCTATTTTGTGTTATGCAAAGAGGGATTTGCCTCCCTCTCACCTTTTACAAGTTATGTTGTTGTTGTTTTTTCAGAACTTGCAGCTTGCAGGGTAGACACTGAATGTTGCCACCACAGATCTAGATTAGATTGGTTGTAGGACGAGTTTGACCCTCAGCTACTTGAGGACTATGAGTCAGCTTGTTTGGAAACATGTATAGCAGTAGTCCTCCATTTCAATGAAGCAGAAACATTCTCATAACTGATATCTGTGTGGTCTCAGTTTCTCTTTCTCATACAATTGTATTCTACCGGTATTTTGTGTATCTGATTGATAACGGGTTAAAGTTTCCATAACACAACCCATCAGCTTACAGTTGTAATTTCTGCATGACAGAACTGGAAATAAACATTCTGTATCGGAAAGTTTCCTGATACCATGCATAAGTGGCACAGATGATAGCTTAAAGGAAAAATTACTTACAAAAACATGTTTGTACTGTTTTGACCCACCATTGAGAAACTAAATAGCAGTCTACTTGTATGCTTTGCTTTCCTTAACTGGTACAGTATTAAACTGCAGAAGTTCATGTGACGGTTGTGATTTCTATTAGAACCGTTATATTTGCTGGAGCATTGATGTTTTAAATTGAAACTAAACTCAGGAATTAAATCTTAAAAGTTAAGTACCTTAACTATTAACATAAAACCATATCTTACTTGTGTATCACTCGGCTGTAGATCCTCAAATCATCTCTGAATTGGTGCCGACACTGTCCTTCCTTCTGGAGGGTGGCTACTTTTGCTCCCCATGGTCCCTGTGTGTGTTGTAAAGTAACCACCACTCCAAGCTCACTCCTGTGATGGACTACAATCTCACGTTTAGTTTACTAATTTGTATTGAGATTGTAGTCCATTATGGGAGTGAGCTTGGAGTGGTGGCTACTTTACAACACACACAAGGACCATAGGGAGCAAACGTAGCCACCCTCCAGAAGGAAGGACAGTGTCAGCACCAATTCAGAGATGATTAGAGGATATACAGCTGAGTTATATACAAATAAGATACATTTATGTTAATAGTTAGGGTACTTGAATGTATTTTTAAGATTTCACTTCTGAGTTTAGTGTAATTTTACCTATAGTTTGTGTGAAATGCTTGTGTTCTATTTTAAGTTTTATTAGACTTAACTCCAGGATTTACTCAATTTTTCTGTCAAACGTCCCTATCTTATGTGCAGTAAATACAAGAAAAACGTTTTTCTAATACTTTTATTCTGAGAAATCACTGTAAGAAGAAGTTATGACTTCACCCATTCTCTTCTGATACTGCAGCTATGGTTGGCTGCTGTGAGGAAGGATCAGTGAGTCACCCAACGTCACCCACCCAACGTCACATCCTAAGGGCATTCTGTGTGCCTCAGAAAACCACATGATCCTGTTAATCTAATAATGCATAGTAGTAGTAGGCTGATCAGACCGGGACTCAACTGTGAATGAACTACACAGTGGGTAGGTGAGACCGGGACTCAGGTCTTCCCACTGCGCTGTGAATGAACTACACATTGGGAATGTCAGACTGGGATTTGGGTCCTCCCACTGCACTGAGAATAAACTACACAGTGGGCAGGTCAGACTGGGACTCGGGTCCTCCTACTACACTGTGAATGAACTACAAATTAGGCAGGTCAGACCAGGATTTGGGTCCTCCCACTACACTACGAATGAACTACACAGTGTTTTGGTCAGACTGGTACTTGGGTCTTCCCACCACTGCGAATGAACTACACAGTGGGCAGGTCAGACTGGGGCTCAGGTTCTCCCATTACACTGTGAATGAACTTCACAGTGGGTAGGTGAGACCGGGACTCAGGTCCTCCCACTACACTGTGAATTAACTACACATTGGGCAGGTCAGACCAGGATTTGGGTCCTCCCACTACACTGCGAATGAATTACACATTGGTTAGGTCAGGCAGGTACTTGGGTCCTCCCACTACACTGTGAATGAACTACACATTGGGCAGGTCAGACTGGGGCTCAGATCCTCCCACTACACTGTGAATGAACTACTAAAGTGGGTAGGTGAGACCGGGACTCAGGTCTTCCCACTACACTGTGAATGAACTGCACAGTGGGCAGGTGAGACCAGGACTCTGGTCCTCCCTCTACACGTTCGACTGAGGTTCTAAGCCTTCTTCACTTAATCCAGAACTAAAACAGAAAGAAAATATTAGGCTGAAATACTGATTTAAATTGAATCTAAATTCAAACAGCCAAATATGCTGTTGCAAATGTTCCTATACTGTCAAAAATGTACCTATTTTTTATATGTCCAGCATGATATATCCACAGACACTTCCTATACTAGAGTAACAAATCTTAGTCACTACATCTGCAGTGTCGTCACCCTTTCCTCTGCACTAATGAGTTGGACCACAAGCAAAGTGCACTGGCACATGGTACTGTAGGCAGCATTCATTCACCATCAATCATAAACTTTAATAAAATACAGCAAACGCCTTTAAACGTTTAATCAGCTGTGGCCCCTTATTACTGGCTGAAAGCATGAGAATATGTAAACATTACATAAACTTGGGCTTACTCAACAAACATAGCTCATTTATTTCATATCAAAATAAATTCATATAAACTCAGTCATTATGATTTGAGTTTAAACAAACAACCACTTAACCACCACATAATAAAAAGAGCCACAACTAGAGGAGGGGGACCTGAAAGTTGCTACGATTGCAACTCACCAACTGACAACTGTAAATCATTTTGTTCAGTTTAAAACTGATACTCCTACGATGATGGTCATTCCTCAATGATAAATAACATCAGAGACACCATGCGGGTGAAAGGAAGGGGAACATAAGAGAGGAAAAATGGGTAAAGAGACATCTAAAGGGTGCCCTAGACCCATGAGAGGGGCAATGCAGCTAGCAGCAAATCTGTTTTCCCTGTTTGTTGGTGAAGTAAACAATGAGTACATCAAAATCTGCAAGTGACTAGCAGGGTTATTCACAAAATCTAGGACAACATAGCCGAATTGGAAA